ATTAACTGGGGGGTCCCGCTGCCTGAACATCGATGTTTTTAACTGGTTTTTAAAAATCCCCAGCGAAGGGGCTGGGTTCACTGTTTTAGCCAGGGTTTAATGTATTTTTACAAAACAACACTATTACATAGTGTTTGTATTGTATCATTTTACTGTAAGTTATTTATTTATTTAAAATATTTTTATCCCGCCTTTCTCCTTAAAAAGGACCCAAGGTGGCTTACATCATTGAAAGACAATCTCTGGAGCTGAAAACAATGAGTATACGACAGCAGTTTAAAAGACAATCTTTATAAGTACAATGAGTATAAAAATGAGTATGAAAATGCAGCTTACACTCTTAAAAGAAAATATTAAAGCTAAAACAATTATACATTAAAAAGGAAAAACACTGTTCTGAGAGACAGTAAACGCAAGTAGTACTAAAGACCCTTCAGAACAGCAATGCTTAAAAATCCATCTAAAAATCACACTCAGGTAGCCAGTCACTGAGGAAAGGCTGCTTGCCTGAAGAGCAAGTCTGCTTGCAGAAGGACAGGAAAGATGGGACCACCCTGGCATCCTGTGGGAGGGAGTTCCAAAGTCTGGGAGCGATGACAGAATGATCTCTCCTGTGTCCCCATCAGAGGTACCTGTGAAAGTGGTAGGACTGAGAGAAATTCCCCTCCTAATGATCTTAACACCCGAGCCCGCTCATAATGGGAGATACAGTCTTTGAGACAGGTCGGATCCAGGCCAGCACTTTGAATTGTGCCTGGAAACTAATTAGCAGCCAGTGGAGCTGCTATAACAGGGGGGTTATGTAATCCTTGTAGCCACCCCAGTCAGCAATCTGGCTGCTGCATTTTGGATCCACTGAAGTTTCCTGACGTTTTCCATTGGAAGTCCCGCATAGAACATGTTGCAGTAATCCAGCTGGGAAGTAACTAGCCCGGCCAGCACTTTGAATTGTTCCTGGAAACTAATTAGCAGCCAGTGGAGCTGCTATAACAGGGGGGTTATGTAATCCTTGTAGCCACCCCAGTCAGCAATCTGGCTGCTGCATTTTGGATCCACTGAAGTTTCCTGACGTTTTCCATTGGAAGTCCCGCATAGAACATGTTGCAGTAATCCAGCTGGGAAGTAACTAGCCCGTGTGTCACCATGGTCAAATCAGATGTCTCTAGAAACAAACAAAGCTGGTGCACTATCAAATCAGATCTCTCTAGAAACAAACAAAGCTGGTGCACTAGCTTTAATCATGCAAATGCACTTCTGGCCACGACTGAAACCTGGGCATCCAGACTCAGAGATGAATCCAGGACCACCTTCAGGCTGCGCACCTGTGTTTACATGGGGAGTGTAAACCTATCTAGTATAAGGTGTATCCCTGTTCCTTGATCTGCCTTTCACCTGACCAGGAGCACCTCTGTCTTGTCTGGATCAAAATTGAATTTATTCACCCTCATCCAACCCATTACTGAACTGAGTTTATTCACCCTCATCCAACCCATTACTGATACCAAACAATGATTTAGAGATGAAACAGCTTGCTTGGATTTAGGTCGCAGGGAGATGAAGAGTTGAGTGTCATTGGAATACTGGTAACACCAAACCCCAAACGTTTGGACAATCTCTCCAGTGGTTTTATTCGATGTTAAATAACATAGGAGACAAAAAAAAGAACCTTTAGGGACCCCGCAGGCCAGCAGTTGGGGTGTCAAACAGGAGTCCCCCACTGCCACCTTGAGTTTTCCTTTCCAAGAAGGACGTGAGCCGCTGTAAAACAATGCCTCTGAGTCCTATTCCAGAGAGATCCGTTGAGAGGATACTATTGTCGATAGTACTGAAAGCCGCTGAGAGGTTCAGCAGAACCAACAGGGAAACACTCCCCCTGTCCAGTCCCTAGCATAGGTCACCCACCAAGGTGACCAAAGCCGTCTCTGTCCCATAACCAGGCCTGAAGGCAGCTGGATAATCTGTTTCATTTAGGAACTTCTGGAGCTGAGAAGGTCACAATCCACTCTAGTGCCTTGCCCAAGAATGGAATATGAGATACTGGTCAGTAATTATTCAGTATTGTGAGATCCAGAGAAGGCTTTTCTAAAAAAACAACAATGATCTCATACTATTGCCTCTTAAGCATAATGTGATCCTACCTTGCTGCAAGGAGGCATTCACCACTCTTCCTACCCATTCAACCAGTATAGTACCTTTCTCATAGCTTTTCTAAGCCAGAAAAGGCAAGGATCCTCACTTCCCCAAGGGTCCTGACCACATCATCAGGCTGCAGAAACTGAAATTCACAGGGCAAGTAGAGGTCATAGTTACACCCAAATCAGACCAGATTTCAGCAATTTTGCCTACAAAGTGTTGTGCAAATTCTTCACAGCAAGCTTCAGTGTGGTCTGCATTATGTTCCTGGGTGCCAGCATGCAACAGACCTTTTGATCATTTGAAAAAGCTTCGCTAGGTGATTCTCTGCAGACTCAATGGTGGCAGAGAATGACTTCTTCACCACTTCCACTGCCATGGAATAGGTCTTCCAATGGGCCCTAAGCTGCGTTTGATCAGATTCACTCTGAGTTTTCTGCCAGCATCACTCAAATCTACATGCCACTAGTTTCATCACCACCAGCTCCCCCATAAACCACGCAGTCAGTTTGACTCTTCTTTGTAGGAGGAAAGGTTTAGGAGCAATCATGTCATTGGTTCTTGCCATTTCCTCATTCCAGAGTATGAGGAAGGTATTCAACAGAACCAGGTATTCAACAGAATCACCTGGCAATCACCTGCCAAGGAGACAGGGAACTACCCAAGGGCAATCAGGAAACCATCCGGATCCATCAATCTTCTGGAGTGGATTGCCTTAGTCTGACCCCTACCTTTGCAAAGGCTCTGCAGCATTCCAGGGAGTCTAAATCATACCAGGTAATGGTCAGTCCATGACAATGGAAATACATAAAGTTCCTTCACACTCAGGTCACTGACATCCATGCCAGTACAGAAGACCAGGTCTAAAGTATGACCTGCAGCTTTGGTGGAGGAAAATACCATTTGGGACAGATCTATGGTCAACATGCAGATCATGAATCCCCTGTTGTGAACCACCCAGGGAGTGACAGCACTAACAAAGTTGTATAGAAGTGAAAGTAACCAACCAACCAGCCAGCCAGCCAGCTTTCCCATGTTCTACCATTTAGCACTGTTTAGCACTTTCTTCTATTTAGTACTTTAAGTTGTTAAAAGCAATATAAGGGAAATGATACCAAAAAGCAACTTAAACAGTCATGTAGCATTTTGCTTTCCTAATACGCCTTATTTTCCGTTTACCTTCTAAGAGTCAATAAAATTAATTAGTGGTTGATACCAAAAGCAACTTATGACACATTTTGATATCAAAAGAAACCTATGATAGATCAGTTACTATTACTTTTTTTTACCTAATCGGTGTCACAGATATTTTATAGACTATAGGTATACTATTTATGCTGACACAGGCAAACACATTAAAGTAAGCCAAGGACAAAGGAAACAGATTGCAATAAACATCACAGAAATTGATACATGTGAGAAAAGAATAAATTTGCGGCTCGGACCTCTTAGCCAATAGTGGGGTCACTCTGGACCTCTAGATGCTTTTACCCTACATTTTCTATTGGCCTTAACCAACAGCAGAAGTGCTGAAATTCATAGGAGTTACTGTTCAGCCTTCCTAAAAGTGTCAGTAAGAGAAAAGTTGTTATATGGATTAAGCAATCCAAGATTTTCTCTAAACATTTCTCACAGTAACAGTGGTAGATTCTCTTCATTTGCTTTCACAATTAATGAAGAAACCCTATACAGTATTAAAATTTGGGCATAAATACTGTTAAATTATTGCTTCCCATTGTTAAATAACTTCATTCACTTTATTGGGCAGCTTCAAGATTGATGGATGTACCAGCTTGACTAGAACGAGTGACTGGAATAAGATTTTATAGCATGATTAATTAGCAGAATCGTTTTTGTTGTAGAATTCAATTATTTTCATTCATTGGTTTTACTTACAATATTTATCAACAAGTTCATGGCAATTCACACATATTAATATACACCGCACAACAAACATAAACAGAACAAGCAGAAGATAAAAGTACAATTCAAATTTTATAATCAGGACTCTGTTGTCCTATGATAGTACACATGGACATCTGTGCAAGTAGAAATAGCTGTTTTTCTGAGCAGGTTGCCGTGTGTCCTTTTCTATGTACCAACAGGATTTTGGCCTGGCAATTTAAAATGTTTGAGATAGTTGAAACTATTTTCAAATGCTTGTACCAAATATTTTTCCCCTTTTATTTTGTTTGACTGAAACATAAATGTAACATTGGTGGTGCCACTCATACCGATGTTCCATAGATGGCACACCCAGAGCTTAAAACCTATGGTGCTGTGATCCACTGTCATGAGTGGAACAGAAGATATAGAAGGGAATGGTAGTCAGAGCAAACAGTAACAGGCAAACCTGGGGTGGGGTGGTGGTAGGGGTGACTGTTTTTTGTTTCTTTGACCTGTGCCTGGTTTCAAACCTGGTCAGCTGACATACTCACTCATATTCATGTTCTCACTAACCTTCTCCTTCTTCCCTCCCTCCCACGCAACCTTCTCTGTTAATGAGGCAAATAGCAGACCGGGGGGGGGGAGGACACCCTGAGCGTAATGTCAGGTAATACAGTATTCCATTTTTCACTATCATGCCATCCTCCATTGCTTGGGATATTGTTTTTTGGACAGTCATTTTAAAATACTTTGCTTTGTTTTCTGTGCTCCATCAGCCCTCGTTATTTAAAGAGCAGCACAGAATTTTATATTAACATTTTATTTTTTTTAAAAAACACACTTTAAAATGTGTACTTGCAATTACAGGTTAACACTACTCATTGTTAGAACACATGGAGATTAAGAAATCTGCAGCAACTGGATATGTTTCTGATCCAAGGTAGCAATGAACTTAAAAATATAAAATCATGAGCACATACCTAGTTTCAGGGCAGAGGGTGTCACTTCAATCTCTCCTCCAATTGGCTGAAAGGCAGCCAGCTGGGCAGCTACCTCTGTCTCAAAAGTATCTGGATGGCTGTTTCCATCTGTCAGACTGCCACCAGTGTCACCGGACTTGGGGAGTGAATCTTGCTCGTCATACACGGCAACCAGCTGTAAATAGGAAAGTTAGTTTATGAAACTTTCATAACAAAGTTTGGAACCCTATATGAAACAAACAAAAAATCCACAAAGGTTCATATCCAAATTAACACATGTCACAACTTGTGCCTGCCATGGAGCTTTCTTGCTCACACTTGTTTCCTGTCTGCAAGGTCCCCAGGGGGCCATTCTCAAAAGGGTTTCTGGGTCATTCTGGCATTTTAAGTCTATATCGTACTTCAACTTACAAGTAAGTGAACAGAATCAATAAGCAGGCAAAATTAACCTTCAAAAAGTAGAATGCACAATATGGAACAGAGAATATTTAGAGATGTGATCATGATCAGCAGAATCACAAAAAGCTGAAGCAATACTGAAAAGCAAAAAAATACAGAAAGGCAGGACAACAGAACCAACACTATCCAAAAGCTTTCTTCAATGGGTATGCTTTTTTATCTAGAGCTGTAAAATCTCAGAACTTGGTGGGATTCCCCTGGAGAGGGCATTCCACAGAGTACTGTATAGTACTTCTGAGAAATACTCTTTTCCGTGGGGGCACACAACACAATTCTAGAGGTTCAGCAGACCATTATAGTCCAAACATTTTAGGCACTTAAAAACAAAAAATGAGTAGTCGGGTTTGTTTGCAAACAAACAGGCAGCCAGTCTAAATAAAAACAAACAAAAAAGTAAAATGTGTGGAGGAAAATCTCAGGAACTGATATTTTACTGAGCAATTACATCCTTCTGCCTTCTCTCAGATGAAACTAGTTTTACAAGTTTATAGGGTCCGTTTTGGGCCCTCACTTTAAATCAAAGAAACTAAAGCTTTAAGGTCTGGCTGAGATTATTTTGGGGCTCTTTGCTCCTGCTCTGCAATGCCCAGCTCGAAGAACAGTTTTTTAGGACTTGAAAACTCACTACATTTTGATGTTTTAATGCTCCATTAGAGTTATTATCCCCCCCTTGCTTCAGGATTTCTGCCCAACAGAGAAAAGCACTCCAAAAACAAATGTAGTGACTGATACAGCATCCAAACCAAAGCATAACAAAGCATTTTGCAGACAAACAATTTAGATATAGACCTCTAAATTATGAGCCAAATTGTACTCATAATCAAAAAGGGCAAAACTGAATAAAAGTAACAGCAGCAAGAAGACAGGACAACATTCAAGTTCATTTCAAGTTAGGTCACAAGTATGAAGTCTAAAAAGCAGAATTGTGCATATATTGATGGGAGTGGCTTTTTAAAATTGCTACTGAACTTTAGTTATACAGACAGCAAAAGCAGATACATATACAGTACAACTCTGGAATGATAAATTGTCAGGAACCAAGAGGGGACTGGAATGGCTTACATTTAAAAAGTAGAACAAAAAGGAAGTTATGAGAATGTATGCAGCAAAAATAAAAGGATGTGTGTTCCCCACCCCCGACACAAACAGAAATAAAGTAGAGCAGAGGACAGAAAGAAAATTAAACCAAATTTAGTGCAGAAAATAAAGTAAATTTTTAAAGAGTGAAAAAAGAGAAGCAGCCCAGTGATCATTGGGTTAAATTAAGGGGCACGTGTTGAGGAGAAAAGAGCAATGTTAAAGTAAGTTACTTTTATATACTAGAGTAATGGTGTGTGATTCTGAAAAATAAAAGGGAGGGGTCTTATTGCGCCTACAGCATTATTGCACTTGCAGCTTTGATATGCCTGTGTCATTTTCCCTGCTCCAGTATATTAATTTTCTCCAAATACAACATTCTTAAAAGTGGTAAATTGTTTGATATTTAGAAGTGGTTCTCTTACATATACTAAAGTGGAAGAAGCTACAGCTCTACAGCAGGCATTGTGATGCATTTTCCTGTGCCCTGGGAACTTCCCATACTATGATATGGGAGGAAGGTCTCAATTTTACACACAATCCACATACATAATGAAGACAGGTATAATTCCATAGGGCTGGTGCATAAGACTTTCTGTCAGTCATTAAAAGAAATGCCCAGCAATTTGTTGGACGGCTGAATAAAAGGCAAGTGGCTAGACTTACACATGAAACAATTGTTGGTCAACTCTGTATGAAGAGTCATGTTAGTCTGTCTGAGGCACCGCACCTTAGATGCTGAGCTCGGAAACAGTTCATTAAATCAATCCCTAATGTGACTCAATCATTAGCTCAAAAACTAAGCCCTACTGGCAAAAAGAGAAATCCAACACAACATTACTAAAAATACTACCAGGAGAGTGACCCCAACACTAAGTGATAACCACAGGGGGGCAAATACATTAGAACAGGAAGTAAGGTTTGATCAAGACAAGTATAAACTCAAGAGGAGTGCAATGAGAACTTTTTAAAAAAGGCAGTCCAGTGAGACACTCTTCAGCGGCAAGTAAATCAATTAGGGCTCCTAGCAGTTTCCTCAGGATTATGAAAGTATTAAAGTAGTTTACTACTACATGCCAACTCATGAATACATGACATGATAATGTAATGTAGCCCAACCTGACTAACCTAGAATTGTTAATTTAAAAGAATTACAACGAATGTAAAAGTTTTTTTTTTAAAAAAATCCAAAATAGTGAAGTAGGCAGACAAAATTGCAAAAGCAGGACTGCAGTTGAAATTAAGAAGACAAAAGCATGAGTAGAGAAGAACTATGCAAATTTAACATTAAATTTGAAATTGTGGAAGATTTTATATACCTCAGTTCAATTATCAGTATAGATGGGCAGAAACTGCTGGTTCAGCAGTTTGTGTCGGTTTGGTGGATGGCTCAACGTGTGTTCCTGCAGTTCGGTGCCCTGCCCCTTCCAAAAGGTGCCTACTCAGAGGCATTGCCTGGAGGAGGTGGGACAAGGAAACCAGAGTGCTGCTTCCAAGTGAGCACCCACTGGAAACGGGGAGGGCACTGAACTGAGGAAGACCTGTTCAGCTGCTTGCCAAACTGGCACAACCTGCCAAACCAGCGGTTCATGTCCATCTCTAAATATCAGCTCCAATGGAGACTACTGCCAAGAAATCGGAAGAATGTGATTTGCAAGGGCAGCTGTGAAGAATAATAAAAGTGTAAAGATGTTATCACTGGAGAACAAGGCCAAGATCATGCAGTAATATTGCATGTCCAAATAGGGTGTAAAGATGTAAAAGTGGGACTGTGAAGAAAAGTGACAGGGAAAAATTGATTTGTTCAAAATACACTGCTGGTGGAGAGTTTCATGGATATCAGACTATTAGAAAGACAAAAAACTAGAAGCAAAAAAATATAAAAATAAAACTGAGGTGCTGTACTTTGGGTACATCACTAGAAGAAAAGATTCACTGAAAAAGATAGTGTTAGGAAAAGTTGAAGCCATCAGGAAAAGAAAAAGACCAGGGTTACTGATGATAGGGCCTTTTTGAACTCACTCTCTCACAAGGTAATCATGGGTCAGAGGCAATTAGATGGCAGGTAACAACAACACAGAGAAGCTTTTGACCAACTTCATTTATGCTATACGAGGCAGAAAAAGGATATACACTCTAACATACGGCCAGCACTAATTCTGATTAGTTTCAAACCAATGGCAACAGCTGGTTTCAAATCTGGTTTAATCTCGGTGCAGAATGCTCCTATTCTTTCCCATCAGAAGGCTAGATTTCATAAAAGGCCTAAGAAGCCGTTCCTCTTACTGAAATAAACTTTCACATTCAGGATTAAAGGGGTAAGAGCCATAAAAATACAGGTGCAGTTCCTCTTGTGCACCATGGCTTCCCCATATCAACCTATTGTGCCCATCTGAAAAGCAGTTTATTTAGATGGGAGAACCCTTCACTATGGTATAGAGCTGCACCCAAAGAGAGCTGCATCAGGGGGACCAAAAAGCTAGGAACTGGCCATGCTTGCTCAAGTGCAAATGCTTAAAAAGGAAACCTCAGGATCCCAGGCATAAACTCATTCAGCTACATTAAGTGGATTGCAGCAAGACAAACTCAATTTTTATCTCTCTTCAGATGCTTGTCAGCCAGTAACAAAGAAGGTAAGAGGGGACTCTTGCTTCATAACATTAAAAATACTGCACTGTAATATCTGATCTTCTCTGTCACTTTGAAGATGTATGTCAAAACGATGCACAAGGGGTTGGTAAAATAATGGAACAAAAAAGACAAATATTTAAGGGAAGCCTCTAGCCAGAGGCAAAAATAAAAAACCTCAAAGGAGGGAACTGAATGGAAAAAGGAGGGAAGAAACAAGGGGGAAATGTAACTGCTTCAAAGAAATTGACATTTTGGGGTCTTCTATTCATTTATAATTTGGTTACAAAAAAGACGTCAGCTCATGTTCACAAATACATATTTTAGCAGCACAGAGAGAGATAATAATTAGGACAGTAACACAGTGGCCTTCTTTAAATAAAGCATTTGTTATTCCAGCAGGGTTCTTACCACCCTATTCAAATGCTCTTCTTGCTACCAAAGATATATAAATAGTGCAGCTAGATATGACAATTGCCAGAGGAACAAGGGCACTGGCGCACCAAGGAGGCTTTCCTTAGCAGCCCAAAGCCTTTTAAATCCCAGCTTGCTCAGCAAAATTGCCAGTCTCAACCATTTAAAAGGTTCTTGTCTTGTAGAATTATAGTAAGAGTTGGACTCTTTTTTAAAATGGACTTCTCTCTCTTTTGGTTAATGAAAGCAAGTGAAAGCTAGGCTATATTCAGACCAATTATAGACTGTAAGGTGTCTAGAGAGAGGTAATTAGATGTGCTCTGAAGAGTTAAATCTTGATGAAGATGTACTAAGGCCATCTTGGAATGCCTCTTTCCTTTGGGGAGACATTTGCCAGTATGTCTGGCACGCTACCTTTCTGTAATGAAGGTACCTCCCCATATGAACCTTTCTGACCCTTAAGATCTTCAGAGGAAGCCCTTCTCTTGGTCTGACTGCCGTCACAAGAATCTCTGATGGGGAAACAAGAGAGAGAGAGCCTTCTCTGTGGTTGCGCCAGGGTTGGGCAACATTCTCCCTCAGGAGTTTAGGTTGCCC